CATTGGCGCAACAAGTAGAGCAACAACAATACGTACGTTGGTTGAATCAAGCGAAAAGCTTGAAAAGATTTCTCTTGACACGGTTAAAGAGGAATGTGTGGAATGGAAGAAAGAGGTATCCGAAGACGATGTAGGAATCCACGAACTTCTTGATGCTATTATAGAATCATCTATTATGATAAGTGATAACTGGAAAGTAGTTGAACCTTTGCTAAAACACAAATGTAAAAGTTGTTCAGAGTGCATACCTTACTGTAGGTGCTCTGAATCTACAATATCAGCCGAAACTTTGAAAGAAGCTTGTTCAGTATGCGGTCCTTACTGTGTATGCAAGAAAATACCCAGCAGTGAATTAATCAAATTATGCCGAAAATGTGGATCTAAAACTTGTATTTGTTCATCGTCTAGTGAAGGATCTGTTGAAATTTGTAATATAATAATAAAGCCTCCGAAAGTTAATGAAAAGACTGATGTTAAGCAAGTCATTAGTCGCAGTAATATGTTTTGCGAGAAATGTGCGTTCATGTGCACTGACTCTCAAGTACCACTCACAAAAAGTGCAAAGAAAATAGGTGAAATTTTTGGAGAAGAAAATTTCTATGATTATATAATGAAAGGCGTTAATATGCAAAATCAACAATAGTATGCGAATGTTAAGTAAACTGAGGCACATCATACAGTATGTGGATACTGAATGAAGTTAACTTTATTTGTATTTTTGATCATTTATTTAAAAATAAAAAGTTATCACTAACCTAATACATAGAAAGGTTTGATAAATCGTATTTGTTGGGGTTAACGACAAAATTTAATTTTCTGTTTGACCATGTCTATTCATTATCATAAAGCTGTATGTTAGTCCTCATAGGTCCGCTTGATACATAAAACAGCAACATTTATGGTTGTATAGCAGCAATGGAAGGTCAACAACGCATCCCAGCACAATTTTTTTTACCGCAATCTTTGTTTAGGGAAGAAGTTCTGTTTCACCGTTAAGCCTTTTATTATTAGAACTTCTCTGAGCCCTTCGGGTTAGTTTCGTCTTTCCACGTTTATCAAATGTTCACAAAACATTTTTGAAAGTGTCGTCGTCTTCCACGTTTATCAAATGTCACAAAACATTTTGAAAGTGTCGCCATGCGAAATCGCTTCATGAAACCCGACCTGACCATAAATACATGCAGTCTTATTTCAGTATCTGGGAATGAAATAACAATTGTTCAAGATGAAGAACATAGTGAAACTAAATAATTATTCAAAAACAAAACCCGGCCATGTGTCCTTGCGGAAGAGGACTTGCAAGTAAAAATATTGTTAAAAAAACATAGCCTTAGTGTAAGCAACTCCGCCTAGATACATCACACAAATAGGGTGTTACAGCTCAATTGAATGACCGAAAATGTATATATAAATACATAATAAAGCGTAAGGCAATTCTCGAAATTAATTAAAGTATGTGTAATGTAAGTCTATACTTCAACATTTCTTACCATAATTGTATTTTTAGGTTCACTGTTCATTGTTCAAGTATGCCACTCTTCTCGCGCACATGGTTTCTTTATTTCAATGGACCATTCGATTGTTTGAACAGCTTTGCATCGAACAGTTGCGGAATAGTAATTCATACAAAAAAAAAAACAAACTAGTTCGAAAACACGGTGATTTTACTTCAATATTTTTGCAACAAGCACTATTTTTGATTGCGGCTTACATGGTTCATTTCATGATCTTAGGTTGTTTTGTTGCTGCTATTGGTCGATGATTAAACGAAATAAAATAATTTTTTAGTTCGAAAAACTATACTATCGTTGGTATACATTGCAATATTGAAAAATCTTCCACGTACGCTCGGTATTCACGAAGACGCTCGCAGAAATACTCCAGGAATACTCGATAACTGTCGGTTACGGCCAGACGAGGGACAAAAAAAGCGGATCTCTTCCACAAAGCCGAATTTACATAACGGATTCATGAAATGTACAGTTTTGAATCAACTAAACCTAAACATGAAATGAACAATATATTCCCTCAAGATAAAAAATAATGCATTTAATAGTTGACTGAACTTGTGTTACTCTTCAATTCAACACCAAACTCATAAAATTACGGTGCAGCTAATTCCAGTCGAAGGTCAGGAAAGTGGCATCCGCTTCCTTCCGCTCTGCGGTGCCTTGTGGTGTAAGCCAATGGCCACCACGGCTCTCCGCCCGGTGATAAAAACAGTTCGAAAGCGTTCAATGGGCGCTCTTTGATTTCAAATTATTATCGTATTCATCGATATTGCTGCTTTATCTTGAATACTGAACGTCATTAAATGAGAAGGCCGCTCGCTCACCCCAAGTCGCTCGAAAAAGCACGCTTAAGACCTGAAGTCGTAGGCTTCGCGACCAGAGTCATTTTGGCATTTCCGAGCGTTTCGACCATCCTGTCGTGGTCTTCCTCAGGCTGGTATGCCAAGCTGGTATGCTATACCAGCCCGAGGAAGACCACGACAGGATGGTCGAAACGTCTGCAACTCAGCCTTCGCGCGCGTCACCCGCGACAGCCAGATCACCCACACGCTAAGACCCTGTCAATGTGTTGCCGCATTAGAAAGCGAATTTACCTAGGGTGGAATTAGAATGGTTTTTAAAAATCTCAAAACTTTCGGACTCGAGCCAGATAAACAGGTGTTTTTGTTTTTTTTTGGGGGGGCAGGGGAAAATCTAAAGACACAGCGGGCCCCGCATCCGCAGGACGTGTGGATTCAGACTTAGGCCTTATGCCTGATCGACTAAAAACCCCTCCCTTTCCTCCTATTCTTTCCGCGAAACCGCCCGTCAGGCATTGCATCGCGAGAAGAAGAATGGGCTGTTTCGGCCACTTAGCCTAAATATTACGGACACTTCTTCGTAACTGCTCCTCGAGCGGAAGTCGTCTTCAGGACCTTTGCGCATAGGGGCTACCGCACTCCAATACTCTTGTGTCATCAGCATCCTAGTGACTCAGCGTCTTTCAGGGTCACTTCCCTCGTGGAGGAGTCTGTGAAGTTCTTCCTTTCAGCTGCGAAAGCGTGGGACAATGAAAAGAAAACGTGTTCTCATCTTCAATCACGGGAACACCTTGGGCATGAAGGGAGCTATCGTCCAAACGGAATCGGAGGCCGATACTCTCGGTAACATCCATGCCCTGTTCAGCATCTGAGTTAATAAAAAATTCTAATTCTTCCAAGTTCCCCTTGGGATCCACGTCAGGATGTCGGAATGACCCGAAATGTACCATCGCCAGTTTGATGATTGCTCCCATTCGTCGTTGCCAAGTGGTCCACTGTCACCCCCCTCTCTTCTTTCGTGATGTATTCCAATTGGAAAGCCCCACTCCCCGCGTTTGCGCAAATAGAGTCCTAAGCTCTTTCCTGCGCATGAGGGCGATGGAGGCATATCTGCTAACACCACACACAGCATCATAGATTACGATGCGGAAACGCTCGAGCCAAACCCGCAAGGCGACCTTCTACTGCACGACTTAGACCCCACCGGGCGTATGACTGAATAACCCATGGCATCAGCCCAAATAGGGGGCTCGTAGAGAAGAATGGAATTACTACGCTATCAGCAGCCTCCGGCTTCTTGCCAGGACCCCCTACATTAGCATAATGCGTGCCCAATGCCGATGCCCATACGAGACGCTTCTCAGGAGACATTGGCAGGTGCTCGTCCAAGCCAGTCTCGTGTCTGTGTGGCGTGTGTATATATATTTATTAATAATATATATATATATATATATATATATATATACTATATATATATATATATATATATATATATATATATTACGGGTATTTCTGCTTGAAATTGAATAAAACAATCCCCCTGATGACATGCCGACATGATAGATTTGAGCTCATTGCTTTACTATCTATTGAAGCTGATGTTATGTGTCAA